GGGGGGGGGGGGGGGGGGGGCACTCACACAACGCACACAATTTGGGTCAAAATTGAATGACGAGCGAAAGGATGATATCATACGAACACCGTTTTTTTTCGGAGCAGCAAGACGGACGACGTCGTTGTTCTTCGCGTTGAAGCGAAGCACGTGCTACGTACGTACCAGGCACACGCCGTGTACTGCACGGGACACTATGTACGTGCTTTGCCGCAGTCAAGGACAACAAACGATGCGACCCCGTGGCGCACGTGCGGAAAATCAAAAGAGTGGAAATACTCAACTTTCACACACAAAAAAGGAGGGTGGACGGTCATCTTCGTCGGTCCTCCGACGACCCCTCCGTCACGGCTACCGCGGAGGAAGGTGTGTTGCGTGGGGATAGCGATATTACACATACATGTCAGGGGTCTAATCCGCAGGCTGTTGTTCACGTCGAACACAACAGACAACAAAAAGGCACCCACGTTTGGCTCCAAAACCAAAACAAGCCACACCACCAGCGCTCTTGCTTCTCGTTGTTCACGAGCGCGAGCGTTGACCGAAAGTATAGAAAAAAATGCTGACAGTCTTAGCTTTTAATCTTGAGTACGACCGTGACGGTCAAGTTTGCTCCTCAAAAAAGTCAAAAGATCCATCGTGTTCCTTCTCCATACCTATTCTGCCCGAAATAAGCACAGAAAATGTCGCTGATCCTTCGCCAAAAATCCGAATACAGTAGGGAAAGATGTTCATGTCGGTGTACCGTACTTGAGGAAACAGCCTTCCGCATCCCCCCCCCCCCCGTCAAGATGAATTTTCTCTAGCGGGGTGCCCTGGACGGCGACGGCTATTGCTGCGTCGTGTGCGGATCACCTCGAGAGAATTGTAGAACGACGTAGTAAAGTTTTAGTGCAGGCTACAGATAAATCCCCCCCCCCCCCCCCCCAACATGAGAAAAATAAAAACTTTTAAAACCCTACATAAAGGCCGTACTCCCCCCCCCCCCTCTCCGAGGAAAAACGTTCCTCCCCATTTGGGGGATACC